TGAGCGCTCTCAGCCTCTCTCCTCCCAGGGCTCCCGCGTCTGCCTCCCTCCACGCCTCTGCCTTTTCTCCCTCCCTTCAACCCCTCCTCCGGCTGACCCACGTGGGACGTTTCGGTGACAGGTGGGCGACTCCGCCCTGGATCCTGTGGGGCGGGGGAGGGGGTTCAGGACGCGGGCGGCGGGGAGATTCCTGCTGTTTTCCTTCCCTGGAGGAGGCGGAGGAGGCCCTGGCGCATCTGCCACCGCTGAGCGCAGGCGGATGCTGGGATGCTCGTGACGGACAGACTGCGCATCCTGAGTAGGCCCTGCGATACCCGAGGCTCCGGACTCGGCCTGCCATCCGGTCCAAGAAATCTGAGCCCTTATCAAGCCTCTGCTCGGCTAATCTGACTGTTGTCATCAGTGGAGGCCCTGTGGTGCCTACCGAGGCACAAGACTCGGGGAAAGAACCCCAAAGGGAGGCCTGAGTCCTGCTAATGCCCTCCATATTATCCCTGATTGCGTGGTGAGCAGGACAGGCGGGCAGATCGCACAGGAAATCTCAGCTGCAGGAAGGAAAAAAAAAAAAGAATTTTGGAGAAAAAGGCGACTTCAATCAACTTTTACCCCATAAGTATCTGAAAATGAAAACAGGGAAGACAATTTTAGACAAACATGAATAAAGTGGGCCTAAATACATAAATAAAGTAGGCACTTGCAGTGTGCGGGTGTTAACAGCCTCATCATGTATGTTCTAGGGCAGTGTGTGTAGAAAACATCATGAATTTAACACTTAATACCCAAAAAGGTAATAATTTCTCCTGCATAATTTTCACATTGATCCCGGGTTAAGATATTTGGGCTAAATGGTATTTTTAAATTTCACTCTTTTTTTTTTCTTTTTCAATGTAGCTATTAGACACTCTTAATTGCATTTCACATGTCTCCCATTGTATTTCTGTTAGGCAGAGCTGTCTTATGAGCCTGTCTTCATCCTGAAATACCCAGACTGAATACTAGTTACTGGTAGTCAGGGGAAAGAAGGGGGAATAGAAGGAAGTTGCTCCCTTCAATGCACCCCCACCCCAGCATGTTGAGCATTGGCTTTTTTTTTTTCCAGAGATGAGTGGAATGGAGGATTAAAAGCTAGGATTTCACCCTCTCCAGTACAAAGAAAAGCTGATAAACTCAACCCTAAGCTAGCAAACAGGAGAGGAAATTTGATAGCATTGAGCATGCCTGGTCATGCTGTGGGGGGAGGGGGTGCCATCTCCGGTGATGGACTTAGTCTCATTTCCTCCATCTCCAAAGGATAAATGGAACTGTATTAACATTGACTAATACAGAGAAAAGCAAACATGTGTATAGCACCTACTAAGATTGTAAACTGTCCTGGGTGCTTCAGACATAATCATGACCATTCTATGGTGTTATCATTTCGGAAAGAACATGACACAAGAAGTTAAGTGACTTACAGCTAGTGTGGTTCAAACCCAGGCAGTGATCGTAAATCACCCTCCTTTGCAGCATCACACACACACACACACACACACACACACACACACACACACACACACACACACAGTACTCCATACAATGTAGGAAACATTAAATGAGAGTTTGTTTCTTGTTGCACTCCCTTCCTAAACTGCAAGGTTAAGTGTGAGTGGCACTGTGTCCAGTCATTAGTGTTACCTTCCTAAGGCAGTTAAGCCACTTTAGAAGAAGGAAACAAGCAAGCTGGTGACATTGAGCCTAATGTTTGGAGTGACAGCTGCTTCCTTGCTAAGACCTGGCTGTGCATCCCCATTCAGCTGCAAGCAGGCATCAGTCCAGCCACTGCTGCCTTTTCCTGTGTCAGATGCTCTCAACCTTGTTCTAGCTGCCAGATTCTCATGTTAAGGCTTCAGAAGACAGAAAGGGGAAATGGGCAGTGGATAGTTGAGCCCGGGAAGGTTCACTGAGACAGCTGTTATGAAAATCCAACAGCCTCCGGGCTTTCCAAAGGGTGCAAATGTGCTTCCAATTTCCCTGGGCCACTCTGGGAATACCAACTTGTCAATTACATGGCAGAAAGGACAGTTGTTTGACTGTAGCATCTTCAAGATTTCCCTTCCCCAGAAACCCTCTGCCCTAGACTCAAAGATCTTTCATTTTTCTTTCAACCTGTGCCCTTAAGTTTACATTTCTAGAACAGTAAATTTGTAAATTTTCTTCTTTGAATTCCATAATTGCTATCATAGTATTTGTGGAATGACAGCAAAATAATTTCACTGGGACATTTAATAAGCAAAAGCAGAAGAAAACTGTAGCATGAAGAAGGAATATGGGACCCATGCCCCATGCTGGGTTTGCCTTGCCCAACCTTGATGAAGTGGGGAAGAGCTTGATCCTGCCTCAACTGGATGTACCATGCTTTGTTGACTCCTATAGGAGGCCTGTCCGTTTCTGAGTGGAGGTGGAGGAGTGGATGGAGGAAGTGGGTAGAGGCAAGGTGTGAGGAGGGGGATGGGAAGAGAGGAGGGGAGAAACTTGTCAGTATGTAAAATAAATGAAATTTTTAATTAAAAAATAAAAAGGGGACAAGAAATTTTTTAAAAGGAATATGGAGACCTAGAGAGATGGCTCGGTGGTCAAAGTCACTTGCTGCTCTTGCAGAGCATCTGGAATCAGTCCTACCACACACATTCCAGCTCACAGTCTCCTGTAACTCCAGTTCCAGGGGATCTAACCCCTCTCCTGGACTCCTCAGGCAAGAGGCATGTATGGGAGACCACCAGGCATACATGAAGGTACATACAAACATACAGGTACTCACATGTGTACCTAAATGATATAAAAATAAATCTTTTTCTTTTCAGCCTTTTAAGGAATATGGGCTGGGAAGATGGCTCGTTTGTTGGATGAAGTACTTGTCCCAAAAGAGTAAAGACCAGAGTTTTTGGTGCTGTGCACCCAGTTACATGCTTAACAGTGCACCCATAAGCCCAGGTCTAAGCAGCAGAGGTAAGAAATCCATCCCTGGAACAAGCTACTAGCTGGACTAGCTCAATCAGTGAATTCTGTGTTCATGCAAGAGGGCCTCAATCTATGATGGAGAGAGACCGAGAGAGACAGCAACACCAGCCGCACACTTTTTAAAAAGGAGAACTCTGGTGGCTCATTTCTTAGGCATCTTATGCTTAAAGCTCCTATCAGCTAAACACAGATCCACAAATTTCCGAGGAAAACTTTACAGACTGTTGCCATCTAGTTGGGGTATGCACTGGGCTAAGTATTTATGCTTCCTACGGGACCTAAAGTCGTGGTTCCAAATAAAACCCAATTCCAGCACATATCCAAATGCCAATGGCTGTCCTATTTTTTTATTCCCCAGTGGAAAGTGAGCTTAACTATGTTTATCTTGCTCATGTACTGAAACACTTAAAAAAAAAAAGGCTTCCAATTTTGGGTCTCACCCTAATAAATGAGTTCCAAATAAAACTATCTTTACCCCAAACATATTTTCATCCAAAATAGCATATTTAACTCCACAGTGTTCTGCAACAAGAAGGAATTATTAGTAGAGGTTCACCAGAGAATTAGAATTCATAGGTTTTGTGTAATGGAGAGAGATTTATTTTAAGAAATTGGCTCATACAACTGTGGGAGCTGGCAAGTCTCAAATCCATGGGGCAGGTGCAAGACAGTCCAGCAGGCTAGACCCAGGGAAGAGCTGATGCTGCAGTCTGAATTCACAGGTGGACCTTCTTCATCAATCTTTTTAATTGTTTATTATTTTATTTTATGTGTGTTGGTGTTTTGCTTGCATGTATGTCTGCATGAGGGTACTAAATCCCCTGACACTAGAGTTACAGACAGTTACTGTGAGCTGCCATGTGGGTGCTGGGGATTGAACCTGGGTGCTCTGGAAGAACAGCCAGTGCTCTTAAGTACTGAGCCATCTCTCCAGCCCCACTTCCTTAGTCTTTTCAGAACTTCAGGGAAGTAGATGCGGCATTGCCCTGTGATGAGGGGAGAGAATCTGCTTTGTGTCAATTCTGTTGTTTGAATGCTTATAATATCTTTAAAGAAAATTTCACAGCATCGTCTTGGAGACTATAGCCTACCCTGATTAATACAAAGTTAACTATCACAGTCACGTGTCCAGCAGCCCAGAGCACGGAACTTAGGACAAGGGCCCATCAATTTCAGTGCATCATTCTGCCAAGTACTGTAACTACTCCTGTACAGGACAAACACAAGTCTCCTCCAGAAACTAATGAAAGAGTAAAAAATAAAAAATTAATAAATGGTAATAAATGCTGGCTTCAATATTGGGAAACTGGAAGACTTTTTTGTTGTTGTTGTTGTTTTGGTTTTTCGAGACAGGGTTTCTCTGTGTGGCTTTGGAGTCTACCCTGGCACTCGCTCTGGAGACCAGGCTGGCCTTGAGCTCACAGCGATCCCCCTGCCTCTGCCTCCCGAGTGCTGGGATTAAAGGCGTGCTTCTCTGTGTGGCTTTGGAGTCTATCCTGGCACTCGCTCGGGAGACCAGGCTGGCCATGAACTCACAGCGATCCCCCTGCCTCTGCCTCCCGAGTGCTGGGATTAAAGGCGTGCTTCTCTGTATGGCTTTGGAGTCTATCCTGTCACTCGCTCTGGAGACCAGGCTGGCCATGAACTCACAGCGATCCCCCTGCCTCTGCCTCCCGAGTGCTGGAATTAAAGGCGTGCACCACCAACGCCCGTCGGAAACTGGAAGACTTATTTACTATTGGTGGAAGTACAAATTGGTAGGGCCACTATGGAAATTAGTGTGGAGGTTCTTTTAAAATAAAAGGAAAGTGGGGAGGAAGGAAGGAAGGAAGGAAGGAAGGAAGGAAGGAAGGAAGGAAGGAAAGAAAGAAAGAAAGAAAGAAAGAAAGAAAGAAAGAAAGGGAACGATATCTAGTATATGATCCAGCTGTACCACTCCTGGTCATATTTTCAGATGACTCTGTATCCTACTACAGGGATCCTTGCTCATCCGTATTCATTGCTATTCCATTCACAATAGTCAGAACTGGAAACAGCCTAGTTCTCCACCAACTATAAATGGATAATGAAAATATGTGCATATGCCAAATGGAATCTTAATCATCTATAAAGAAAAAATATGAAATTTGCAAGAGTAAGGTATCCTGATCCAGAAAGACAAATATCAGATGTTTCTCTCTAACTTTGGACTTTACATTTGTGTGTTTAAATTGGAGTACCCAGAGAAGGTAGGGAACCAATGAGGGGCCCTGGTAAGATTTCAAGAGAAGTGAGGGGAAGCACATGTTGTATGAAGGGGAAAAGAGGAGAGTAATGGAATAGAAAGAATTAAGTGGATGGGGATAGGAGCGCAAGGTAAAACACGAAAGGCCTTTGAAAAGCCATATGGAAACCTACTGTAGAAGTTTCCTAAATTATATACATATAGAAAAGGAGTTTAAGTGGAGTTACCCTATAACCAAGGAACCATGCCTCTCCCAGACACTATAGGCTATCAAATAAAAGTCCCAGTGGCAGGTATGGGCTGCCTCTTTTCAAATTGTGCGTTGGTAGGATCCCATAGATACCACCATCCCTCAAAACACTGCAGGCCGTTGCCATTGCTCTTGCTCACCCTCCAGAACTTAATGGTAAGACCCTAGTGCTGAAGATAGCATGTACCTGTTACTGACCTGGAAGCTTCATCCCTACTGGCTAGTTTTCATAGGGCTAGAAAGTTCTATGC